CTCTCTCTCTCTCCCCCTCCCCCCTCTCTCTCTCTCTCTCTCTCTCTCTCTCTCTCTCTCTCTCTCTCTGTCTGTCTGTCACACACACACTCACACTCACACGCGCGCGCGCGCGTGCGCCCCCCTCTTTCACACGCCACACACACACGCTCAGACTTACACACACACACACCACACACACACCCCTGGGCGGGGCGCCGCGCACCTTGCCGCACCATGCCCGCGCCCCCAAAGTCGACCTTGGTGTCGGGCGCGGGCACGTCCTTGGACTTCGCCGTCAGCTCGTAGAACGACGCGATGCGGGCCCTGGTGGTGGGGCGGGGTGTGGCCAGTTTTGAGCGTGCGTGTTTGTGTGTGTGTGTGCGCACGCGTGTCTGCGTGTGCGTGTGCGTGTGTGTGTGTGTGTGTGTGTGTGTGTGTGTGTGATGATGTCAAGGGTTAGGCAAGGATGGTCCAGCGGGCGTGGTGCATCAAAAGGGGAAAAAAGGGTGAGCGCGTCATGAGGCGAGCGCGAACGCAAACTGCCGGCAGCACAGCTCCTGTCACTTGTAGCCGGTCCTCGAATTCTCGTAGTGCGCGCACCTGCTCTTGGTGGACCGCGCCTTGGGTTGACGCGCCATCCACTCCGACTCCCGCCGCAGCACCGTCCGCGCGTCGGCCGCTGCGTTCGCCTGCGCCGCGCGGCGGGCCGCGCGCGCCTGCGGGGGAGGGCGGTCGGGCCAGGAGGTCCAGGCGGCGGCGATGAGGTGGTTGCAGGGTGCATGATATGGACGGTTGCGATGCACACTGCCACAATCCTTCACCCATTCGCAAGAACCACGCCGCCAGCGCGAGGCCGCCATCTGGAATCCACCAGATCAGATCAGATCAGACCAGGTCCAGATCGCACCTCCTTGAACTTTTCGTAGCTGCCCTTCCCCCCGAGCTTGTGCAGGTGCGCGCCGCCGTTGCCGTCCAGCTCCAGGATCCTGTTGCAGGCCGACTCCATGAAAGCCCTTTGGGGGGAGGGGTTGGGGTGTGCAAGGCGCTTGAAGGGACAATACGCCCAGTCGCAGGCCGACGCTAGCGAGTTGGAAGTTTGACAAAGCGGCACGCACACACCGCGTCACCCGCCGCCGCCGCCGCCCCCAGGAGGGCGAGCGCGCGACGCGGCTGACTATGGCCGGTACAGCAAGGCACCACCCCGAGCTCGATGCACCAGCAATAATTGGATCAGCCAAAGGCCTAAACTGGACAGCGCTGGCCGTGCAAGGTTGGGTCAGCGGGAGAAAGCAGGTCACAGGCGCATCGCAGCGTCGCGCACCTGTCGTGCGTGACAGTTACAACCGCCAGGTCCTGGTTTCCCGTCAGCTCCCGCGCCATCCAGTCGATCATGGTCACGTCCATGTCTGGGGAGGCGGCGGCGGCGGGAGCGGCGGCCGGTGAGGTTTCACCGACCCTTGACTGGCGGTTTGCGAGCGCACAACTGGGGATGGGGTGTGTGGGACCGACGCTTGACAGCAATCCAGCGCGCCCACAGCCAGCTGCATCAAGAATGTTGCAGGTGTCTTCTGAGTTTGGCTGCTGCCACCAGTCAGGGTTTGTTTTCTCACGATTCGTGGGCTCGTCCAGCACCTGCGGATGACGTCAGCGCACACGCCGGAGGTCGGAAGGTAGGGGTCGTGGTCAGAGAGGCGATGGGCACGGGGTTGGTGCGGGCATGCCTCGGCTTGTAGGCGCATCCAGGTTCAGGGCACAGCTGCACAAGGGTATCACAACTTCAAATGATTGAGGTCGTCAAGTCCGCAGCTGCGGCAAAGCTGCACTCAAACGGTCCCCACAAAGTGACATGTTGAGCCCCGCACCGGCACCCGCACAGTCAGCAGTACGAGCAAGGTCTGGGTGCACTTATGCCCAGCGCGCGCGCTCGAGCCCACCAGAAGGTCGGGGCCCCCCAGCAGCGCCGCTGCCAGCGCCAGCCGCCGCCGCTGGCCGCCGCTGAGCCGCGCCATCGGTGCGTTGGGGTCGGGCAGGCCCACCGCCTCAAGCAGCCGCCGCGCCTTGGTTGTTGTTTACGAGGTGGCGAACAGGACAAATGAAAGAGGATGTGGTGCGTTGCAAGGCCGCACGGCTCCAACCTCGCGATTGCGGGGCCAGGGGTGCTCAGGGTCGCCCGCAGGGCGTACTGCCCCGACGCCTGGCGCGGCCACGGGCTCGCCGTGGGTGGTCGCGCTGACCGCAAGAGTGCTGCCTGCTGTGCGCGTTTCCCAACTGCAATATTGCTCTCTGCCAGCTCTGACCAAACTGTGCGATCATGCCCATGGGTCGCGCTGTTCTCCCCCCCCCCCACCCTCCCTCACACACACACACAATTGCACACACACACACACACACAC